AGGCTATTCTCAGTTGGCCAACACCTGCTTCGTTGCATGATGTGAGGGGTTTCCATGGCTTAACTTCGTTTTACATAAGATTTATCAAGGGTTTCAGCTCTATTGTTGCTCCAATCACCGAATGTTTGAAATGTGATAAATTCAAATGGACTAGTGAAGCTAACGATGCTTTTGAGCTTTTGAAAAGAAAGGTTATTGAAGCTCCTAATGTGTTTGAAGTTCTACCAAATTTTCATAATGTGTTTGAAGTTGAATGTGATGCAACTAATGTGGGAATTGGTGCTATTTTGAGTCAAGACGGAAAACCCATTGCATTTTTTAGTGAAAAGCTGAATGATACGAGAAAGAAATACTCTACTTATGATAAGGAGTTTTATGCGATTTATCGAGCTTTGTCTCATTGGAATCAGTATCTTCTTGCCAAGCCATTTGTTCTATATTCTGATCATGAGGCATTAAAGTTCATTAATCACCAACACAAGCTAAACAAGAGCATGGAGCTTGGGTGGAGTTTTTACAATCTTACAACTTTACAATCAAGCACAAATCTGGTGTTCAAAATGTAGTTGCTGACGCATTGAGCAGAAAGCATTCTTTATTATCAGCAATGGAAGTCAAAGTGGTTGGATTTGAAACATTCAAAGATCTATATGAGAATAATATGGATTTCGGCTCGATATGGCAGAATTGTAAATCAGGTTCCTTTTAATATTTTTTTATCTTTGATAGTTTTCTTTTTCGAGCTAATGCTTTGTGTATTCCATTTTGTTCTTTGAGACAAGTAATTCGAGCTGAAGCTCATGGTGGTGTTTTGGGAGGACATTTCGGTAGGGACAAGACTCTAGCTCTTGTTCAATCAAATTTCTATTGGCCTAAAATGTTCAGAGATGTGGATAGACATGTGAAGCAATACTGATTGTGTCATTTGGCAAAATCAAGAAGTCAAAATTCTGGTTTGTACACTCTATTACCAGTGCCAAATGATCCATGGGAGGATGTGAGTCTTGATTTCGTTTTGGGATTGCCAAGAACTCAAAGGAACAAGGATTCTATCATGGTTGTTGTTGACAAATTTTAAAAAATGTCTCACTTTGTTCCATGCAATAAATCGAATGATGCATCTGATATTGCTGATTTATATTTTAAGGAGATTGTTAAATTGTATGGTATTCCAAGAACTATGGTGTCTGATAGAGATTTAAAATTTGTTAGTCATTTTTAGAGAACTCTTTGGAGGAAGCCGGGTACTTCTTTGAATTTCAGCAGCTCTCATCATCCATAAACCGATGGGCAAACTGAGGTAACAAACAAAAGCTTGGGAAATTTGCTTAGAAGCTATGTTAGTAAGAATATTAAATATTGGGATGTCATTCTTCCACAAATTGAGTTTGCCTACAATCGTTCTATGCATCATAGTATTGGTAAGAGTCCTTTTGAGGTAGTTTATGGTACTAATCCTGCTGGTCCTTTGGACTTAATCCCTCATTCTACAACAAAGCAATTTAGTGGAGATGCTGATGAAAGAGCTAAGCAGATAAAGAAGCTGCATGAGGGTGTGAAAGCAACCATTGAGAAACAAAATGAGAGGTACATGCAAGCTGCTAACAAACACAGAAAACATGTGGAGTTTAATGCAAGTGATTTGGTCTGGATTCATCTAAGGAATGAGAGGTTTCCGCCAGGCAAATTTGGAAAACTAAAACCAAATGCTGATAGTCCATTCAAGGTGTTTAAGAAAATTGGCAAAAATGCTTATGAGATTGAGCTACCTAAAGATTACGGAGTATCCCTAACATTTAATATGGCTGATTTAAGTCTTTTTTATAATCATGATGACGAAACAAACAAGGACTTGAGGATAAGTCTTTTTCAAGCATGGGAGATTAACACGGGAGTGTCTAATTTGCTACAATCTGTTCATATGGACCATGTTGATAATATGATATTTTTTCAGCCAATAATATTGCCACATAATCTTCAACTCAGCCTACTCAGATAAGATAGCTCATCAGCATATTCCCTGCACAAAGGAATACATTAATGGAGTTGGTTGGCAGTTGTAAAGCTGTATCATGGTGCTTTTCTTGATAACTAAGGAATACATTAATGGAGTTGGTTGGCAGTTATAAAGCACTTAATTTCGAAATTCCCTATGCATGAAGGGTTGTTTCATGCACTAGTATTTATTTTGGGGTTTAGGGCTTAGAAAGGACTTTAGAAACTGAGGATATTGGCAGAAGCTCTCTTGGAGTGCTCTTTTGAACTCTGTATCTCTTGGATGAGTCCTTGAGTGGTGAGTCTTTTGCTTTCAGTTCTATATCCTTGTTTATTATCATTAGGGTGATGATCTTCTGTATCCCTTTTGATATTAAACTTGGTGGTGAGCTATTTTTTTATTTTTATCAAAGTTTCATCAAGAGTTCGTTCCTTGTTTTTTGTGACATTTTCTATCTGAACAACTGTTCTATTCGGTTTTTCTTTCGAAATCCATTCTGCATTTTTACCCTCCCCGGTATCAATCTCTCTTTGGTACTAAACTAATTGAGAGAAACTTGGCTCTGATACTGACTCTGATACCAATTGTTAGGATCATAGTGACACTAGGGGGGTGGGTGAATTAGTGCTTTCAAAAATTTTTGACGATTTTAAAATTTTCATTCAATAAAAATGGATATCAAAAGTATGCTTAACTTAGAGTAAGTGTAATAAGCAATTAAATCAGTAAGCAATGAGAGTAAAAGGCTCGAAGAAAAACTCATACTGGATTTATAATAGTTCGGTCGTTGTGACCTACATCCACTTTTGATTCCTTCTCCGTCGAGACCACCAGCTTCTACTAACGATCTTCTTTCAATGGGCGAAGACCAACTATCCTTGTTACAACTCTTTCTCCTTTTTATAGGTTTAGGAGAAAACCTTTACAAGTCCCACACCTCTCTTAAACAAAATTTTAAACTTTTTAAGAAGACGAGGAGAACTCTCAACACTTTTCAAGATTACAAATTTGATTCACTAGCGTTTTAGTTCACTCTTTCTTATGTCTACCCAGCAGAGATAAGTGAGATATTTATAGGCTCCAAATGGCTTCAAAAATGAAATCAAAAATTTAAATTTCTATGTCATCCGAGTACGGGCGGTACCTTCACTTGGTAAAGCCTCGGAGACGGGGATCTAGCGGTACTACTGCTAGCCTGACAATACCACCACTTGCCAGCATTAATGCCGATAGTACCACCGCTCAATCTGGGCAGTACTACCGCCTAACAGTTTGGAAAATTGTGCTCTTAGCTTTTCCAGCTCATAGGTGGTTCCACCGCTAGTTTGGTAATGCCATCGCCTGACCCAATCTATGAATCACTATTTTGAGCCTCCAAATGAGCCCAAATCAGTCTCAATTTAGGCCAAATAGACCCTTAATTGAGTTAGTATTGTTACACTTGAATCTAAGTTAATTAAGACCCAAAACTACGATGATCATGATTTAAACGATTAGAAAACATAGAATCTTATGTTGTTCAGTATATCATTGGTTCATCCAAACTCTCGATGCATCATGTTCTCCTTCAACATATTGCTCAATCCATCCACATGTTGACTCATGCAACGTCCGATCTTGACACAATATCCGATTCTTCTGGCCCAATGTCCGATCTTCGACTTCGGTCCAACATTTTATTCTTGTACTTCAATTGTTTTATCTTTTCATAATCGAAATTAGTCCTGCATCACTTTTCTTAAAATATAAATTAGAGTAGCTATCTTATAATAATATATATATTTTTATTTCTCTTTTAATCTCTTTCTCTCTTCTATCTCCTCGAACCTTGATTGCTACCAAAAATTTTTCTCCCAACAATTATCAACTCCTCGTTATCGTGCTCCAGCCACTTGCCAACAGGACTTGGAATACTAATTGCATTCAGTGCAGCTGCCACAAAAATAAATAAAATAAAAGGGACAGCACGAAAAGGGGATAAAATTGCACATCACCAGTTAAATTCCCAATCGCACAAGATACTAGATTGAGTACATTTTGCCAAACTCCAAACTTAATTTACATAAAACAAGCTCAATTAAAGTAGCACTGTGGCACTCCTCAGACGAACATCGAACACCAAGTTAATCGGTAATATCTACAACCTATATGTCAGCTCACTCAAACATCTTCTATCACAGTAAAATTACAGCACAACAGTTACGCCCTATGGTAGCAGCATAGTGTACGTTCTTTCTACAGCTAGAGTAGCACTCTTCTTCTCTAACTCCAAGAGTTGAGCTGTAGATCCAACGTACGTCTTAAGCCCCTGCAGAAGTGTCCAAAATATATCTAATTTATGGAATCTTAATCCAATTAATTTTAGGTCAATGTAAGAAGCAAAATACATAAAAAAAGAAAGTTCTAAAGCTTGTACCGGTGACCTTCAAGTTAGAGTTGGAGACTCGGGTTCTGAACCACTGATAGACGTGAATGTGGACAAGGAATCATCTTTGGGTGGAGCAATAAAGTTTAGTGGCGTGGTCGACAACCGCCTCATCTCTTTGAAGTAGCCACTATGGCGACCGGAATATGAGCGTGGTATGAGAAGCTCCGGGGTCGCACTTCCAGCCGAGAGCCGTCGTGGCACAGGGGTCATGAAACCATTCCCTTTTCCATTGAAACTATACCCACTTGGCTTTCTGTTCAAGCTGTTGCTCCTCTTTGGGAATGGCTTGGAACCAAAAACTGCTTCTTTCTCTGTGAGCAGTAGAGTTTGCAGCTTCTTCTGATCCTACAACAAATAAGATGATGATAGATTGATTTCTTATAGGTAGCAGTGGAAGATGTAAGGTAATTTAGCAAGGAACAGCTACCCACCCTGTCTCTTCTTTTCTCTTGTTCCTTTTGTTGCCTTGTAAGTTTATACTCCTCAAGCATGGATACCAAACGAACCTGGAGTTCAAGGTGGCATCTTTAGTCGACAGCCAATCCGATGAAAAAAGGATGATTGAACAAAAAGCCCGTTTACAAAAATAAACAGAAACTTTCACTCACCCCATCATACAGAAAAGGTTTATTTTTCTCATCTTCCCAGGTAAAAGTTTTACTTATAAGATTGTCCACCAAAGCTGACAAATATCTTCGGTCAGGAATAAGTATATGATTAAGGTACTCGTGGTTTAGGGTGTGTCATGAGAATACCTGGAATTTTGATAATAGTGATCCTTGCCTTCTCTGCACGTTTCAGGTTTATGTGACCACCTCTTCCACAACTGTACCTGTTCTCATCCTGCATGCGTACAGGACAGGAAGGGTTGCATTCAGAAAATCATAGCTTAGGAATTGTGAAGTTAAAATTTTCATCGTCACAAAGGAACAGTTGTATGTTGACAAAGCAATGTAATTGTTGCTACTAGCAGTTAGGAGAAACCACAAAAATGTGAATGTTATGGATTTTATCTTCAAATATTGATACCTGGTTGTACTGTTCAAGCCAATTTTCTTCTTCACAAGTAGCAAGCCATTTGCTTATTCTATCCATAATCTCTTTCCTACTTATGGATTCTTCTTTTACCTTCACTATTTGTGCCTCGATATTGGCCAAAAGTTCAGAAGGATCTACAAGCCCTGGAATACAAAAGATATCACATATTGTGAAATCTTAATAACACTTTCTCTAAAAATTAATGAAATAGAAGAATTGCCATAGTACTCTCAATGCTTGTGCCTAAAGAATATGAATCACACCCGAATCAATCAATGCAGCTGTTTTCTCTGTTGCCATGCTTGTATCGGGTTCAATATGTGCTCTTCTACATTCCTCTTCCAGTTCTAACCTTCTCTTTAAGACAAGTTCTTTCATTTTGCTAGCTTTTAGTTTAGTCAGCTTATTGACTTCAACTTCTGCCTGTCAAACACATCGTGCAGATAAAACAAACTACTTCTATTGTTCAAGGGTAATATCTCTAAGCTTCATCAACTGTCAGACCTGCTCAATTGTTTTATGCGAGAGTAAACCACTGTGTGTAATTTCATGTTCTGGTGACTCAAGGATGCAAGCTAATCTTTCAAAATGCTTTCTCTCTTGTTCAGGTGAACCCATTAACTTCCATAACGCGAACAATGATTTCATAGTTTCCCGCAGCTACAGATAAAAAACTGTTATGATACCAAGTATAGGAACCAAAATGAATAGAGAAAATCTTGAAAGGCAACAATTTGTACTAACCTTCTGAAGTTGAATCTTCTTTTCTGCTTTTAGCTTTAGGATAGCTAGAGCAAGACCTTCCAATGTTTTATTGCTAATATTTGTAGATTGCTCTGGACTAGTCTCATGCAAACTTGGGTGTACTTCTACTACTATCTTCCTAAAATCCAGTCCAAGCACACCACATAGAGAATGCACCTCGTTTACATATTCCAGAACTTTATGAAGGCGATCAGACTTGAAGGTAGAAAATGTTGGAAATTATCAGTACATTTATCAAATCTTATGCATATAAATATAGGAAGTATTGTGCTCAGCATATTTGTGAAAATTAATAATTTAAAATACAAGGTATTCATACACACTTATAAGCGAGCAGAACCATAATAACTTTGGAGCAAGGGACTGGATGCAAAGTATTGAAGGGTTAACAAAGCATGGGAGAAGAAATAAGTGAAAAAGCAATTCTAGGCCAGCAAAGTAAACATTTAATTTTTTGGTAGATATTTTTGGTCAGAGAATAATTCTTGGAGATACCTTCACAGAATCCTTGGAAGGTAAAGGCAAATAGTTAGTATTGTGAAATTCTTTAAGAAAGTCAATAGTAAAATAGGACTAAATTGAAACTAGATAAGTAAATTGTTCTTGAAATTATTCCTAATGTTGGAAAAATCAGGCATGAATGGATCTCTCTGCCTATATGTTCATTCTCGGTTTTGAGGATACTGAAAAGTGGTGACTATTTACCTGACATCAAAATCTTTCTTTTCAGAATTCAATCTCTATTACTCGTTTCAGATATAATTACATTTGGTGTATATCATAAATAAAGGACACAATTGGTGCTACATTTAATAAACTACAATTTTATTGTCAACAAATTATGCACCTCACATCTGTTCAACTATCACGGGAGAGAGTTCAAAATCTCTCCAAATATCAATGCTTTCAATTGCTATCTCCTTACCTTACATATTCAGACCAAGGTGCCATGACTAGTATGCCGTGGTTACAATTGTTAATAACATGTATTTATAGAAGCTCCAATGCTCCTAATTCAAAGTGGAGGAGAATTCAATTTCAATTCCTTTTCATACTTAAAAAGAAGTACCTTCTCTTTCTGGAGTTCACGAAGTTGTTCATGCTGTTCATTAAGCTTCCTCATGGAGAGATCATGTTCATCTACAATGGCAAGACTTGTCATAGCATCATGCTGATGTTCACGTTCCCTTATCTCAGCAGTGATCTTCTCAATCTGTAATCTCACATCAGCAAAATTTTTTATCCTCTCCTCTTTCTTTATCCTTAGATTTTCTAAAATAGGTGTAACAGAAGCTAGTTGCTCCTTCAGTGATGCTGCTTTCTTGTCTTTCTGCAAGCAATCATGACATGATTTACCTATTAGTAAATTGACATACATTGCACCAACAAAAACTGAAGCAAATTTGAAAATTTTGAAGTCAGGTTATGTATGTTGCACCCAAAAATTCTTGCCTGCAATAGCTCAAGGGTTAAAGAAGAGAAGGTGAATAAATGTATAATGGTGATGGTAAAATAAAGCCAGTTCTAATGGTAACCTTCTCATTCCAATCATGAAAGGAAGCTACAGTATTTATAACTGCATACAAACTTATTTTCATGTCATTATAATGTCCAAAAGCCAGTTAACAATCCGGGAAGGAGACTGTTGGCATTGTGTATTACATGAAAACTTAAACATAATATAAATTCTTAAAAGATGTTAATAACTTTATTCATAAGAAAGTAGCACTAAAGAATCATATACAAAAAAACTTTATATTGATCTGACGACAAGCCATGATGTATTGCCAATAGATATCAAATATTAAGTCAAGGAATCCAGAAAACACCAGCCATTACATACGCATATTCTTGAAAATTGACTTATACAGCAGGTTAATTTTATTGACATTGCTTCTCAATTGAACATTATCTTGTGGTCAAGTTGATATGGAAATGGAGAAAGGTGAATAATTGAAGCACTTTTGGCACAATACTCCTGACCATTTTCCTGACTGTAAGATTCACAAAAATTCTGGATTCCCCGAGGAAGGCTGAATATCCCGCATAGTTTAACGTGCATTTTCAAAGGTGAACAAATTTAAATGATTAACAGTACCAAATGGAATAGGTAGAATCCTTTCCTGCAAACAATGTAATACATATTGTATAATAACCACAAATTTCTAAGATAACATGTTAATAGTCATTATATTTTTATAGAATCATATTGAACCAAAATAAACAAAGCATCTCATGTCCACAAGTATAATTTCTTTCAAGAATTTTAGTACCAGAATGAAATTTTTTTGAAAGAATTTGTAAAGTACTATATTTTTAACAACATGCCATACAGGTAATCTGCAGAGGCAAATTAAAACAACAAGCTGTGAACAAAATAAGTGTGCTTTAATTGCAAACGCAATGAGTGATTAACTGTCTAACGGAATCAAGCTACTTAAGATAATAGCAAAAATATAGTTTTCAGTTTCTGGCCTATGGATATATTTTTTACAAGTATTTGATACAAACTCTGGCATTAGAACTTTGAAAAGACCAAGAGAGGCACTAGGTTCATCTGTTTGCTTGCTTAGTCAAATAGCATGAGGCCTGAATGCTGACAGCTGATACACAGCTAAAATGCTCACAGAAAAAAAGAAATGAATTCATTGATAGTGGAAGAACTAACCTTAGAGTTCATGTCATTCAAGAAGAAGCATAAATTAGAAATAATCCATGTGTTTGCATGAGAAAAGCCAACAAAGGAACAAAAGTATGAGTTGTAAATTCAAAAAAACAAGCTAGTCTACATATGGATATTCTATCTGATTCATTGGATTATAAGAAGGGTTATGCATAACCTTCTAGTGCAAGATGATTGAGGAAATGAAGGCTAACATAAAAAGAATTTCACGGTTAACAATTCACAGTGTCGAAGAACAGAAGATTTTCTTCTTTTGTGGCACAACTGTCATGAACAGTCGTCGTACACTCACAACAACTCCATTCAACGAACCGTTCGTCGCTCTTATCTACATGTACAGCTGCTTGGCAGTATGTTTTGGCTTGGTTTTAAGTCATTTTATTTGTAAAAATGTAAGTTCGAATAAGTTGCAACGCTATAGTGCGACCACTCACCGAACCAAGCAAAACAGCCCCAAAATAGCTCCATTTTCGCGTGCCACGGGTTGTTTTCTACAGCCCACTACTGCACACGAAACGTCAGCCATCTTAGCACCCTGGAACCACCCGGGTGGCACCATGGGGGATGGGGCTTCGGTATAGTGTCGAGCATTGAACAATCTTTCGCAAGTTCGCACGTTATCTTGACGGGAACTTGTTGTCGCGCCCAGCACCCGATGAGCAGTTGTTTGTGGACTTGCAGTTGTTCGTTCAACCCTCTAAAGTCTTTGTTTTCCCCCTCTCCCTCTTTTCTCTTGTGCATGCAAGGTGCTCGCTGAATTGCTTGTAAAGCTTCCCCTTTTCGCGAGACATCAGGACTTGTCCGTCGCTCGTTCTTCGAACTAATCAACTTTCTCTTTTACAGGTCCTTCGGGACCTACGAGAGGTTGCAAGTGGGCTGATCTTTATGGACGCAAATCGCAAGGGCGAAGCGCGACTTAGGCAACGCAAGCTAAGTTTGCATCTTTGCCGTATGGGTGCCTCGCGACTTAGGCAACGTAAGCTAAATTCGCGTCTTTGCCGTAAGGGTGCCTCATGACTTAGGCAATTCCAGCTAAGTCCATGATATTGTGGTATCAGAGCGAGCAAGCACTTCGAGCGAGCAGCGAAGGAACTTTGCAACTTCGCCATGGCAAAGCATTGTGGCAAATCAAGCAAGACGGGGCAAGCCGAACCCTTGCCCCAAGCAGCCGCAGGTGGGCTGCAAGTGCACACTCGCTCTCATGCTATTGGAGCCGCTTAGGAGGAGCACGGCAGCGAACATGATGAATGAGAAGTTAGCTGCTCTCCGCGAGCAGAGGAGGCACAATCTGGAGCACCAACCGGGAAAAAGATTTATAAGGAGAGACTCACAACGGCGGAAACCCGCTTGGATGTCCTTGAAGCGAGCTTGGAGGAACTCTACCATAGCCAACAAAGGCTTGTTGGGGTAGAAAGCTCGTAAGAAGAAGCGGAGTCCAGGATCGACAAGGTTGAGGCCCTAGTCGACCGATTGTCAGATGACACCAAAGACTCCGTGCAACACCTGTAGGAAGTTGTGGCGGAACTCACTTCAAGAGTGACCATGCTCACAAGAGCACTAAATGCGGGAGGAAGCAACACCCGCATTGCGTCGCCACAAAACTCGAGGGCACTCGAGCCTCATGGTTATGGAGGAGCCAGAGATGCCAAAGAGCTTGAGAATTTCCTGTTCGACATGGAACAATACTTTCGAGCTACGAGGCCTGATTCTAAAGAAACCAAAGTTTCTATAGTAACAATGTATCTGAACAGAGATGCAAAACTTTGGTGGTAAATTTGTTGGGAGGAGATCCAACAAGGTCGATGTCGAGTTAACACATGGGAGGACCTGAAGCGGGAGTTGAGAACTCAGTTCCTACCGGAGAACACAGAGTTCGTCGCAAGAAGGAAGTTGAGACAACTCCACCAAAATACTTTCATTCAAGACTACGTGAAGTAATTTTCTGCGCTAATGCTGGACATACAAGATATGTCTGAGAAGGATAAGCTGTTCAACTTCCTCGATGGTTTGAAGCCATGGGCTCAACAAGAACTACATCGAAGGAATATCGCCGACGTGATCGAGGCAATTGTTGCCGCAGAAAGGTTCACCGACTTTGTTTCCTCCAAAGACCTAGGAAAAAGGAAACAATCTTCAAGCGATCGCCCTCCAAAATATTCTCGAGGGAAGGAGCTCGGGGGCGAACAAAGGAAGAAGAGTTCCCACAAAGGGCCAAGCCCAAAAGGCAAGACCCCAAAACCTGGCAGATGCTTCTTGTGCGGAGGGTCGCACTTGGTGAGGGAGTGCCCACAAAAATAGGCACTCAATGCTTTAACAGCTTTCATCCACACCCCCCGATCGGACAAGGGCAAGGTTGTCACTCTTAGTTCGAGTAGTTCTGAATCCAGCAGCGACGATGAGGAGTCGCAAGGACCCCGGATGGGAGCAATGCATTTATTGAATGTCATGCGGGGTCAAGTGGGGGAGAACACGAAGACAAGGCTATAAAAAGCATGAAGTGGCAAGCTGATGTACATAGACATTAAGCTCAATGGCCAAATAACCCGTGCAATGGTGGACACGGGCGCTACCCACAATTTTATTACCAATCAAGAAGCAAAGAGACTTGGGCTGATCTTGGAGAAGAGCCCAGGTCGAATGAAGGCGGTGAACTCGGAGGCCAAGCAAATCTCCGGGTTGGTAAAGGGAGTTCCCATCAAGATCGGAACATAGAGCGGGTGCACAAACATGATGGCGGTGCCACTGGATGACTTCCAAGTGATTCTTGGAATAGAATTTATGCACGCGGTAAAGTTGGTATCAATACCGTTCCTTAACTCCCTATGTGTGATAGGAGGTGACGACCCCTGTGTGGTTCCCGTCTCTCGAAGAGGAACCAGGGAACCCCAATATATATTGGCATTACAACTAAAGAAAGGGGTACAAAAAGGTGAATTAACATTTGTGGCTGCTATGAAGCTAGAGCCACTCGACAAGAAGGTCATTCATGAACCTGCTGTGGTGGCAAACATCCTTAAAGAGTTCACTGACGTTATACCACCCGAGTTGCCGAAGACTCTTCCGCTACGCAGAGGCATGGATCACAACATTGAGCTGGAGCCAGGAGTGAAACCTCCAGCGAAACCACCCTACTGCATGCCCCCGCTAGAGTTGGTAGAACTCAGAATGCAGTTATGTGAACTGCTAAGCGGTGATCTCATCCGCAATTCTAAAGCACCATTCGGAGCTCCAGTTCTCTTCCAGAAGAAACAAGATGGGAGTCTTCGACTATGTGTCGATTACCGAGCCCTCAACAAAGTGACGATAAAGAATAAATATCCCATCATGCTCATCGCGGACTTATTCGACCAATTGGGTAAAGCCAAGTATTTCTTAAAACTCGACTTTCGGTCGGGGTATTGACAGGTGCACATTGCTAAAGGCGATGAAGCGAAGACTACCTGCATGACCAGGTATGGAGCGTTTGAGTTCTTGATGATGCCTTTCGGCTTAACCAACACTCCGACCACATTTTGCACTCTCAAGAACCAGGTATTCAAGGAGTATTTAGATAAGTTCGTGGTTGTCTACTTAGACGATATCGTCGTCTACAATCAAACACTCGAGGAGTATGTCAAGTACCTTCGGACAATTTTCAAGGTTCTCAGGGAGAACACTTTGTTCGTGAAAAGGGAGAAATGTTACTTTGCTTAAACAGATATCTTATTCTTGGGGCATGGAATCAGTGATGACTCCATTCGGATGGACAAATCGAAGGTGCAAGCGGTTGCAGAATGGTGAACTCCAAAGAATGTGCTAGAGTTGAGATCCTTCCATGGCTTCGTCAACTACTATCGACGCTTCATAGTGGGGTATTCAAAGCGTGCAACTCCACTAACGGAGTTGCTGAAGTAGGAGCAGCCTTAGAGGTGGTCTAATAAATGTGAAACTGCATGTTAAGATCTGAAGGCTACTGTGTTGGAAGAACCAGTGCTCAAATTGCCGGACTATGGGGAGCCCTTCGAAGTCCATACAGATACTTCATAATTTGCTATTGGGGGAGTGCTCATGCAGGAGAGTCATCTGGTGGCCTACGAGAGCCGCAAACTCAACGAGACTGAGCGGCGGTATCTGGTGCACGAAAAGGAGATGACAATATCAGTTTGAGCTATTTCCAAACTCAGAAGAAACTCTCCCCCAAAGCAAGCACGATGGCAGGACTTCCTAGCTGAGTTTAATATGGTAATGGAGTATAAGCCCGGAAAGGCAAATGTCATGGCCGATGTATTGAGTCGGAAAGTGGAGTGGGTGAATGTCGTACAATTGGAGGGCAGAGCCAAGCAAGTCAGTTGCACTCCAACTTCCTTTTCAGGATCAGGGATGGTCTGTATAGTGATCCCCAGGTAGTAACCCTAATGCACCTCATTAAAGAAGGCAAGGAACAACAGTTTTGGGTCCAAGAGGGACTCATTTACACCAAAGGGAATATGGTTTATGTTCCTCGAGTGGACAATCCGAGGCGTGAACTCTTAAGAGGGTGTCACGATTCCCTTTGGGCTAGACACCCAAGCATTCATAGAACCTTGGCTCTTGTGGAGAGGGCCTTCTATTGACCAAAGATAGAGACTAATGTGGAGGAATATGTTCGAACATGCCTCACTTGCCAACAAGACAGGGTGGAGCAATAGAAGCCGGTGGGACTTTTGGAGCCATTGCCCATACCAAAAAGGTCATGGGAGAGCATTTCCTTGTACTTCATATCAAGCTTGCCCGCATTAGGGAGACTCGGATCGATACTCGTGGTGGTCGATCAATTTTCAAAGTATGCAACTTTCATTACTGCTCCCCTACATTGATCAAGAGAGGAGGCGACCAAGCTGATGATGAACGATGTGATGAAGTATTAGGAACTCCCGCACAATATCATCAGTGATCGAGATGCTCAGTTCTGGGACGATTCTGGACTAGGCTATTCAAATTATTAGGGTCCAAGTTATACTTCTTCACAAGCCTCCACCCCAGACGAATAGCCAAACCGAAAGGATAAACTCGCTCATAAAGCAATATCTTCGGCACTATGTGAGTGCCAACCAATGAGATTAGGTGAAGTTGTTGAACATTACCCAATTCTCCTATAACTTGCAGCAAAGCTCTGCGTCCAATAAGAGCCTCTTCGAGATCATTACAGGGCAACAACCGTCAACTCCTCATACCATGACAATCGGGTATACTGGGAGTAGTCCGTCAGCCTACTACTTCGCAAAGGAGTGGCACCGAAATGCAGATATTGTGTGGGCTTACTTGGAGAAGGCGGCAAAAAGGATGAAGAAGTGGGCAGACTTAGGAAGGCGACCGCAAGAGTTCAAGGTCAACGATTTGGTGTTAGTAAAATCACTCTAATTCTTTAGAAACAAAGTACACAAAGGATTGATGCGCAAGTATGAAGGGCCTTTCCCAATTGTCAGCAGGGTGGGCAACGTCTCCTACAAGTTGTAGCTGCCGGCGTAGTTCAAAATTCACAATGTTCTTCACACCAGCAACCTAAAAGCCTACCACTTGGATCCGCAAGATGCTTCCCAAAGTGTTCCAACTCGGCTACCCCCCACCAGAGTCTCCTACGAGAAGCGAGTTGAAACTATTTTAGCGGATCGCAAGATAAAGCTACCGAGTGGAGCTGAGTAGACCGAGTACTTGGTGAAGTGGTGAAAGCTTCCCTGAACTAAAGCTAGTTAGGAGCCCGAAGATGCCTTGCGACATGAAGAAACAATTATCAACAACTACCAATAAGCGTCGACGAGGGCATCGACAGTTTGAGTGGGGGAGAATGTCACGAACGGTCATCGCGCACACGCAACAACTTCGTTCAACAAACAGTTTATCGCTCTCATCTACATGTACAGCTGCTTTACAACATGTTTTGGCTTGGTTTTAAGTCCTTTTGCTTGTAAAAATGTAAGTTCGAACAAGTTATAGTGCTACAGTGTGACCACTCACCGAACCGAGCAAAACAGCCCCAAAATAGCTCCGTTTTTGCCTGCCATGGGCTGTTTTCTATAGCCCGCTGCTACACGTGAAACGTCAGCCATCTCAGCATCTTGGAACCACCCAGGTGGCACCATGAGGGATAGAGCTTCGGGATAGTATCGGGCATTAAACAATCTTTCGCAAGTTCGCACGTTACCTTGACGGGAACTTGTTGTCGCACCCGACACTTGGTGAGCAGCTGTTTATGGACTTGCAGCTGTTCGTTCAACCCTCTAAAGTCCTTGTTTTCATTCTCTCCCTCTTTTCTCTTGTGCACGCAAGGTGCTCGCTGAATTGCTTGTAAAGCTTTCCCTTTTCGCGAGACGTCAGGACTTGTCCGTCGCTCGTTCTTCGAACTAATCAACTTTTTCTTTTACAGGTTCTTCGGAACCTGCGAGAGGTTGCAAGTGGGCTGATCTTTGTGGACGCAAATCGCAAGGGTGAAGCGCGACTTAGGCAACGCAAGCTAAGTTCGTGTCTTTGCCGCAAGGGTGCCTCGCGACTTAGGCAACGTAAGCTAAGTTCGCGTCTTTGTTGTAAGGGTGCCTCACGACTTAGACAATTCCAACTAAGTCCGTGACACAACGGAAGCCAAAGGACCACTAGAATCCAATTAAACAAAACATACAATTTGATCCCAATAATGCATCCTAACATAAATCTTTCTACAGTTACCAAAAGTCATGACCTCCAAATTAAGCAAACTAAAAACAATGGTTGGTTTAAATCATGTAGATATACCCATCAAGCAAGTGGTCATTTTATCAATACCGGAGATAGAGGAAATAGAGGCTTGGACGGTTTGGCTCACATTGTCAACATTTACTTATAGACAAGTATACAAAACAGAAAGACTGTTGAACCAACAAATCAGAACTATGCAGTCATGTGTGCATGCAGAAGCTTAGCAGATCATGTCTACTAGTTACTTGATTTGAAATTGCATATAAACCACTTCGAGTATGTTTTAGTTGAACTGACACAGCATACCGTTGAATGAACTGTATGTTCCCCAAGGGAGGCTACAAGAGCTGCAATCTCTGCTTCTTTGGCAGTTACAGACTGATGAAGTTGTGCCTTCGCCTTGCTGGCTTCATCAACCTTTCTCGTGTATATTTCCAAGCACTCTTTTTCAATCTCCAACAGCATTTGTTCTTTGTCTGCCTCACTCTCCCCAATCTCTTCCCTGATGTGCTGTTCTCCAGCAATTAGAAAACATAAACATAAAGTGACACCTTAAGTTCTGCAGATTGAACTGTAATGTTGTTCTTTCAGAAGAAGAAAAAAGGTACAAAAATTTTATGCTTGGATCATATTTCCATTCGTCTTTTATATATATATATATATATATATATATATGTATATATATATG